CCTTCAAAGCAAATGACGCAGTCCGGGGAGACGACAGACTGGGAAAAGTAGCAATAAGTCTGGGTACTCTTTTTTTCTTTTTTAAGCGACTATTCTGTAATTGTGTTCAAAAACTTACAAGATCACATTAAAAGGTATTTATTTTGAAAGGTAAAAACCAACAATGACGTGAAAACCATAATACTGGTCTTCCTATAGGTCTGTGTGTGTGTGTGTTTTTTGGCGTGGTGATGAGGGGGGGGATGTAAAGAGGAAGCAGAAACAGTGGGTGTTGCCTGTCTGCTATTGGTGTATTTTTAATGTGTAATACAGACATGGGGAGGGAGGATGTGTCTGTTGGTCCAGCCTAGATCTCACTCTACCTATTGTTTAGTGTACGTGATTTTTATTCGGTCTGACATTGAAAAGATGTAATTCCTGCTTGTTAACACCAGATGTCGTACCAGCCGTGCAGCACACGGATCCCCATCAAGTAAGTGAACAGTCTCGCTGATGTCCACTGGAGACATAATAAAGAGTTACAAATAAAAGCCACTTATATGATTGTCCAATAGGAAATAATCAATAAGGTGTAATTTTGACTCAACTAATTGTTTTCCCAAAACCAACTGTATTATTATTGGGGTTTCTGTTGACAGAAGGAGCCACAAGTTTCATGAATTAAAAGTGTTTTTCCACATTATTGTCTGTATTTAAATCATTTTGCCGTTTGGGCGCACTCTATTACAGTTTGACACACCAGTAAAATAAACAGTTGAACATAAGTGTTTTATGAATTATTATTTGCAGTTGCCTTTTCATGATACATATTATATGGCCGGGTTTGGTACGTGTTCTTTTAAGTACTTAAAATATAAACATTTTGCAGTGAAAATATCAGGTGCCTACCGTCACCACAGGGTGGAGCCATAGTGTCACAGTTACACCGTCTACACACTGCTACGTCACTGCAGCACCAGTTCAATTTATAACCCATATGATGTTATGATCTTTGGCTGACCTCAACGTTTAATAAAGCTGAGTTATGACTAACCGAAAGAACCAGGCTGGTTATTTCAAATCATACATCTGTGTCTGGACAGTGTGTAAACCGCATTATGAATAGGCATGTTTTTAATCAAACTCTAATGCTACAGTCTCTCTTGCTCCAAACAGAAACCCTGGAATCATAAACTGGGCCAGTGATTAGTGATTAAAAATAACAGGAAGTTCCTGTTTGGTTGTAGAGCAGATAAGCAGAAGTTTGCTTCCTCAATCGGCCCCAGTTTCATCCACGAGGCGAAAAACACCCCCCGAAACCAAGTCTGACCACAGTTTCAACAAGTCTGGTCTGTGTGTATTTGAAAGATTACACAAAAAAACGTGTAATGGAAAGCCTTGACAAGGTCCGTCTTTTTCAGTTGCGTCTTTTTTTTCAATCGGTAATGCAATAAAATCATCACATAAAAAACCTTGCTCTCTGATGTGATGACTAATGTTTTCTTATTCAATATTTGGCAAAAGTTAGTAATTCAAGAACTTATTGAACCGTGTGGATGCCATTGTTTACACCAATGAAAGAGCGACGGTAGCTATACATTATATATATATATATATATATATATATTATATATAATTATATGTATAAGACATCATCTTGGATTACTGCTGTTACCATGAGTGATTTTCACAACCAATTAACTTAATTAAGAAGTTACCATATTTGATGATGTAGAGGAGCCTGTATACAATTACGGCCCAATCGCAATCTCAACGCTATTCCCTAATCCCTCAGGAATTTAATTTAAATCACCTGGTAAATGGTTGAATGTGCGTCTGTGAGGGCTTGAAAGCTGTAAATATGAATGGGACGGCACTTTCCGAGGGGTATTTGGTATTATAGCGCTGTCTGAACTCTCTATATATTGTGAAGTGTCTCTTTAAAGTTGCACGCTTGCACATGCTGGGAGGATATGGAAGAGGACAGCAAGCACATGGAGACACCATCTGTTGTTGGGCAACAAAGCAGCAAAAAAAGAAGTGCCAATGTGGAGACACACACACACACACACACACACACACACACACACGACATGAGGCAAATGGCAAACCAATAGCAGGCACAGACCGTATCAACACTGTGAGCAAGCATTGTTCTGAGAGTGAGAAATTCAGCAACATGAAAACAGTCACGATCAGCTCAAAAGACGGAACGATCGTAACAAATGTAAACCCAATGAGAATGAACTGACCCAGCACTTATATACTACTAATGCATTACTTAAAATCACTTCAACCCTAGACTTCATTGTTCAGTTAGCATTATTCTATTCTTTCGAGCTGCCAGACTTTATTCTCCTTGACAAGCTAACGTTGCTCAACTGCGTCATGCCTCCACACGCTCAGATGATTTGATATCAGTTCGGGGTGACTTTCATTTTCCATTAGCAAAGAAAATGTCGCATTGTATACTGAGGGCTACAGATAAGGCGCTAAATCACCCCGGGCTGTACATTAAATTAATTGTAATAACTGAGGTAAATGTTAGGTTTCTCATTCATGAAGAAATTACCTGCAAAGGTAAGGCTCCGCTTTTATTTTATTTAAAACTAATTAATAATTCATACCTTTGAATGTCGAGAGAGTAGCAGCCTGTGATTGTGAAGCTATGTGTGAAGAATGAACTACAACTCACCTCTCGCAACGCACCCCAACATAACGAGCCGGCTAATTAGCTAACTTAGCTGGCTCGCTAATTACCCAGCTAGCTACGTAGAAATGTAGCATTATCTTACTTGATGTGTTTCATCCCACAACCACCGGATAGCAAAAAATAAGTGTTAATACTAACAGTATGTCTGATTAATTTGCGGTACAAAACACAGTAGCTGCACCGGATTTGTCCGTGATGTCTTTCTATTTACACGTTTTCGTAGCCTGATACGTGGCATTACTGTACATATTCTCCAAGCACATGAGGTAAAGCCTCACACAGAGTCACTGGAGACTCTCGGCCTGAAGAAGACTCCATGCACACAGACGACGAGGATGATGAAAGATTCATGGCACAAACTCCGGGCCAGATGTAAGACACAGACGCAGCTATGTGTTTGGTATCTCCCCTCCAGGATGTTTAGGAAGAGTGCAGTGTGGGAAATAAAAGCTCAAATGCGTTCAGCAAATGTTTTGTGCCTTGACACAAGCTGCCAAGTGCCTAAAACGGAAACATTGCAGCCATTCGGGGACTGAGGGAAAGTGGTGACGTCTCTTAACTGCTGTAACATTCCGCCACGCTTTAGAAAGCTGTTGATTCTCAGGTTTTCTTCCGTAATGACAAACCCGCAGAGAATTCTCACCAGGCCCTAATTGCATCTCTCACACACATTCTAACACAGTCATGCTGTATAATCAGCATCGACGTGCTTTCTTTTTCTTTTTTTTTGGTGGGCTAGTTGGCTCTTAAGCCAGTCAGTCAGCTGCGATCAAGAGGCCGAGGCAGAACAACTCCACATCAATCACCAAGGAGCTCCACACTGCCTCAGCACTCGCACTATTTATGCTTGAGCACACATTACGGAAGGCCCCCTCATTCTGTCAGTACAAATCAGGTGAGCGTGCACATACGAGATGCATGCACACAGTATGGGCAGTAAGGGAGACCATGGGGTGATAGCCTTGCTATTTTCAACCGCTTCTCTCTTCCCGTCTGCATTCTTTCTTAAATTCCATTAAACTGACTTTACGTTTTTTTTATGTCATTAGGGAGGCTGATCGTATCAAATATGTGGGAATACCAAAGTTATGTGGAAGACAGGAATGACCATTAATCAGGGTAGGATATTTATGTAGATGAGAACCGACCGTCCTCGTTAGGGTCCGGTGCTCTATTGTTCATGTACCTTGACATTTCCCCTTGTTATAACGAGCATCTCATCAGACCCCTGCTCATTGGCTTCTCTGTAGAACGAGCAGGGGGTGTGAGTAGGATTATTATAAGGGAGGAAAGACTGTCCTGGAAGGAATGAACATCTTGAACGTCCTAAGTGAGACTTACTGCAGAGAGGATGTTCTCTCTAGTAGACCTGCGCTGTGGACCCAGAGTGCTGATTCATTACTTCCATATGTAAAAAATATATATAAAATAATAACAGTACCTTTTCATGGGCGTTGTGTTCTCTCATGTTAAGTTTAGCCTTTCTGGCTATATTCTTCTGCATTCCCCATAATCCAACGGGAACACTCAGTGTTTCAAGTTGTGTTTTTTGTCAACAACTAGAGCGCAGAAATCTTTGGCGGGGAAAATGTTGGATCACTTTCCCTTCCAGGCTCATTTTAAATATGCATAAAATAAAATCCCCATGAACGATGATCAATCAGTGTGTTGCTCCGGTCCAGTTCTGAAACACAACGAGGTCGGGGAAACTCTCTGCAGATACTACAGAAAAGGAGATGTGACTGTTTTATGCTTTAATCACTGCGTCTCCCTTTACGCCGCAGGCTGTGAGCGCTGCTGCTGTGCTTTGGCCTTCCTGGGTTGCAGCTGCATATCTTGCAGGAATGCATATCGTTATTGATCCCGCCACTCGTTGAATCCGTGGTGCCGTGGGTTATGGCTTTGTTAGCTGTACTGTGACTGCTCTCCTGCTGCTCCGGAAAAACATCAGCAAAAAACGCTTGGATTGCCTCTCCGCTTGTGTCGCTTTGTGACGGACGAAGCTGTGTGATACAATGGATGCGTTATCGGTCACAGTCACATGGCTACCATCAGAATCCCGTGGCTACAGCTTCAACAACAGGACCACGGTTCTAATCACGGCGACGGACGTTCTCAATCAGCCTTGTCAGCAGTCACTGAGGGAGAAGTATTTATTCTATTCTTTGGAGGTCTTAATTGTATGAAGACGGACATCTCTGATAAACCTAAGCCATATCAGGACCGATCACATCCGTGTCAGCATGTCAAGCTGCTCCCTTGACACTTCATGTCATTTGTCTAGTGTCTTTCCCTTCAAACCTTGCAGGTTGCAGCAAAGACGAACGACAGCGTTGATGCTATCACAGACTGGAGAAGCGAGAAAGGTGTCGCACTGAAGCAGGACCGAATCTTTGAAGACTCCGGCCATGACGTCTTTCCTGCTGAAGCCGTCTCCTGATGGAAAACAGCATTCCAATCTGAAGGGAGAGTCCCTCTCATCATCTCCCAACTCTTCTTGTGACAAAGACGCTCGCCGGAGATCTTTCTTTACTGAGAACTTTAGTCCTATTATGGAGCTGGCAGATCTGCCTCAGATCCCTTTGTTCTGCAGAATCAGCGCTTCTTTCTTGTCTTGGCTCTTAAAGGAAACACGTGATTGACTGTAAAGAGCTTGGGAACTGTCCGTGTATGTGATGAATGATTAAAGACATCTCAACCCTCCCTCAGAAATGTATGTAATGGTTGTCAATCTTTCAGACTGAGGAACACAAACACAATATGTTTTTCTTGTCAATGCTCCTATGAGACTGAAATACTCCAAATATACCCAGCAAGGTTGTTTTGGGTTTTGTAAGCAAGGTATAGAAAATAACATCATTATGGTGATGCTATTTGGGTGTGTATTGGCAAGCAAGATACTCACCCACGATGCCGTATATTGCGACACAATAGTAGTTTCCCATGATTCCACAGGTTTCGGCTGAGGTTCCATCCGCAATTTCCCCTGCCTGGTTCTTGTCAAGCGGTAGCGCAAATCGTTTGGGTTTCCTGATTTTTGCGAGTCAGCTGTATAGATGTGTTTGCACAACCCTTCTGCTGTAGTGCATGAAATCTTAGAAATGCCTGGAGGGAATGGTCAACTTGGACTAAATTATAAAGTGGCTAAAATGTTGGAGTCAACGGTCCCCGCGACCTCACAAAACACATTTTTGCAACAGTTTTAGTTCAAAAGGTTTTCCCACGTCACATAATGTTGGCAGCTCACAGCAGGGGACTTCAATGATGAACTTTGTGTTTATCCAGTGCACTTCCCCCTCACCTGCCCCTCTTCCCCGGCTTGTGGGAAAACCTTTACTGAAGTTTGGGTCCCAGGACAGAGGACGACATACGTGTATAGATTGCAAAGCACTCCCTGGAAAATTTGTGATTTTAGGCTGTACAAAATAGATTTAGTTAAATGTATTTACTCCACATTTTAAGGCTGAAGCCGAGAGAAGGGATCCCAAAAAATAAACCAGACCGGCCTGTCTCTGTACTTAAGCCCCTTTTTGGGGATTGAAAACCAGCAGCTGACGCAATTTCTCTGATGTTTTTTAGTTTTACATCTATTATCTATTGCAAAGTGTTCGCCATGTCCCCAAAAAGTAACGGTTGATTTGTCTGCCATCATGCCGGTTCAATCTTCCTCTGCTCGACTTGACGCAGTACGACATTTGTTCCCTGATCACCTGGTACCGTTAGGCCGCGTGTCGCCTGTCTGGCTGATCTGAAGCAGCCTCCCACTCGGCTGTCCCACCATCATCTAACCATCGCCCCGCTGCCTGTGGATACCTTTGGTTTTAAATGTGCGTTAAACATTTCCAGAAAAGAAAACTCTTAATTCACATTTTTTATTTAAGTGTGCCAAATTTCACATTTTAGGGCATTTGTCCAGTTATTGTGGCCGGTCTATGTCCAGCAATATTCATCTATGAATGTTCATCAATATGCGGATACAAACAGTTTCAAGTATCATATGTTATTATTATTCTTCTCTACTATTATTATGGAATTTATTCCTATTGTCACTGTACATTAATCATACTTATATTGTAAATACCTATAACGCAAACATCAATGTAATATCAAAAAGCTGTACAAAAAGAACAGGATGCACAGGAAATCAGTTGGGACAGTTCATACAGATCAACATAAAGAATACAAAAAAGGCACTTAAGAATATCAGATACACACACACACACACGATTGTACATGTATATGTACACACACACACACACACATTATAATTTCAAATGCGTGAGCCCATGTAATCACCTGAAACGTTATCTTTACAATTATATCAGATAAACCTGGCTGGGGAGCCATGTTGAGACCTTATTGGCTCTCAATAAACAGGAAGAACTGCTGACAGGAAATCAGGAAGAAGTGTTTGAATCCCCATCACTTGCATCACTGCGGCTGCGCTCCTCGCGTGGCTTCTTCATTTAACTGAATCTATCTATTGCAACCAGGAACTCAAACTGTGTTCCAAGCCTTGACCCTTGAGGCTTCTGTCTCTATCGACAGACCTGGACAGCAACACACACTTTTATTAAAAACTGACACACAATCTCTGATACGATGACGGTGCTGATGTGTTTTTTTTAACAACTTCTAAAAGGTGAGAAAAACATCTGCGTCACTTCCTTGAACATCTGCTAACCCTAAAAGGGGGGAGGGTTGCTGTAGTGCTTCATGTGTTCATTTAGTGACTCCTGCCCCCTTAATGGTTTACAGCTCGAGTGGAGGATTTTTGTTTATATTTTTTTGTATGGAAAACCTAAAGAGGCAAAACAAATCCGTAATGCATAATGAGTGCAGATCTGTTTCTGAATGTTTAAATTATGGCACAGCAGGCATTTTGCCTTCTAGATAGATACGATGTTGACTCTTTGTTTGCACACAAGCACTCTGCCAGCGGACCTCCGTGGCCACTAAAAGCCTCTCTACTATAAATGCTTCACCTTTACATTTAGTCAAGCCTTGTTCTTTCATCTATAGATTTGTACGATTTTCAAAGGTGCGTGTGTGTGTTCCGGGGGGGTCGTTTACCTTCAACTTCTAGATGGTAAAATTGCACAGACAATATGTATTTCTTAAGACCCTTTGTCTTAAGATTTGGGGAGAGGGTGGAAAACAAATCTCCCCAGTCTTTCCCTTCTCAATATAATCCTCACTTTACGACACGTGTTGAAACTACGCATCGCTCTCGGACCGGCTTCTTGCAGTGGAGCTCCAGCAATGAGGCCAGTAGGGCCGAGATCCTCCTTGTGGCAGTGGCAAGTGAGCGGCAACTCTGTGGCAGGCAGCGGCAATCGCCAGTAAATCAGTCGCAAGTCCGCGGCCGGCGTCACAGCGGCACGCTGGGTGGGAGGAGCCAAGTTTTCCCAGAAACGACTGTTATTTGTACGACAGGTCAGCTGCTGTAAATAAGAAAAAATAATTTTATTTTATTTGAGACACGTGAGCCCCTGTCTTCTTATTGCAGAGGCTAATTTTAGGTTTGGACCGGCGGGTTCCGTGTGGGGGGGTAGGAGGGCTCACGTGTCTCAAATAATATACAGGGCGATGCCACTCACAAGGAGGAAATGGGGCTGTTGCCCAAAAACTATTGCAATGACCAACGTGCCATTCGGCAACCGTTGGATCTAAAATGTTCTTCAGGAACTGGAAGCACAACTCTGGAACTTTCTTTGATGAAAACAGCTTACACCTCGTCAAATAAGGCAATCGTCTGTCCAATCGTCTAAAGCGCAGCCCTAGACGAGGAAGCGCCTGGCAGCGCATGTTTGGGTCTCCACTGATTGATTTGAGGATTTGGTCCAAAGCAAGTTAAGTCTGGCCAAGGCTACGAGCTCCCACCTCCAGCTACGTGTCGTCTAACCGATTCCCCTGCAATAAAATAACGTCATGTCTGTTAACAATAAGCCCTTAAATTTAATTATTACGGCCTCCTTGACTCTTAGTGAGCGGCCAGAAGCTTCAGAACTCTACTAGAACAAAGTTCAATGGATGTTTGTTTCCTTAACAGTAAAACCTATTACTTTTTAGAAACACCAAACCGGAACCCCCCCCCCCCCCCCTCCCCTACAAAAGAACAATGTCATTGTGAGGTGCCGCCGCCATCAACGCACCCGCCACTCCCGCCGTGCTAGAACCGAGTCCCGTGGCCAGGTCCAGGGAAGTCCCGGCGTCGTAGGAGGACATCGTAATCCCGATGCTGCCGGTGCCTTCCTCCCCCCTGCGCTGCTGCTCTGGTGTCGGAGCGGGCGCTCTGATCCCGCTGCTCCCAGGACCTGCGCCGCCGCCGCCACCACCGGCACCAACACCGCCTCGCCTTTTGGGTGGCGGCCCCCAGAGGAAGGCGTGGGCGGGTCTGTAGTGCTGGCGGGCGTAGCGGAGCAGGCGCCGGCGGGTGGCCGGCAGGCGGATGGTGTAGACAAAGTACTCCAGGGCGCTGTGCAGCATGTTGGGAAGCGTGTTGTGGCACAGCGACTCCTCCAGGAACAGACGGACCAGCGGGGCCTTGAAGGCCTCGTAGCCCAGCTCGCCCAGAGACTTGAGGATGCGAGTGATCCGCAGGTAGTTGTGCTGCGACCTTGGGAGAACGAAGAAGAAATGTCTCACTTTGAATTGAAAAATGTCTTCCGTGAAAAAGTAAAAAAATAACAGTCTTATAAAAGCCCACTTGTATCGGTAATAGATATCTCATCATACTGAGTATAGGGATTTCCAGCATGTATTTTCCCAATACGTGAACAAGGCTAGTTATTTTAAATCTGAAAGACCACCAACCAACTGACAACCAGCAATTACTTTTCACTGTTAAAACAGTATACGCCACCAGCCGAAGTTGGCACCTGTAACCATGGTAACTGTTACCCACAGAAAGATACCAAATATCTTAAAAGATTAAAATGAAAATGATTTTTTTTGCAAGCCTCTAAGGCACACGTCCAACGTACAGAGATAAAGAAACATTCTCAGTGTCACGTGTCGTGGATGACATGATTTAGTGGAAGCTGACCTTTCGTTCTGGTCCAGAAAAGTCACAATCATGCATCACTGTGTCAACACACACTGACATTTTTGTAGTCTTTTTTTCATTGTAAAACTCATGAGCTGAGGATTTCAAGGTTCAGCCACAATTTATAGCCTGTCTACCATAAACTAACGTTTTTGTATGTTGGCTAAAAAACATGCCTTGGCTTTCGAGGGCACGTAAACATATTTACACTTTCAGTAAAAGACAAAAACTCCACCACAACAATAATGAACACGGCATCACCTGCGATGTTGCAATCAACGTGTTCTGAAGTCTTTTCAGACAATTCAGCCGCTCATTATTCAGAATAGTTTGTTCCTGACGGTAGTTTGGCCTGAGAGCGGTCTACAAACCGCACTTCACCAGATGCCACGGCTGTTGTGAATATTTAATGTGATGTTAAAAGTAAGAGATGGGAATACGATGGTACCTACGAGCTGCTTTATGGCAGAGAATTGGCTGTTTTTAACACATGGTTTGGATAATGGCAGCCATTAGCGGCGGATGCTACGGTTTGGCGGCGGTTGAAGCGGCAGCACTGAGCAGAGAAATGCACTTTTTTGACATTCCGTTTGTTATTCGGCAAGCAAGCCCAATGGCCGTGAAGCTGTGGAGATGGGACGTGAAAGAATCAATTTAAATGTCCCTTTAACCATCTGTCTGTTGACTGAAGGCATGTGGTTCGCATCTGGTTGCTGATAGAAAAACAATTAATTTGGGTGGGTTTCTTTTTAATAGTGCGTGCGCGCTCACTCATTAAGGTGCTGGAAGCGCTGGTGCCAGTTGGGAGCCCGAGCAACGTTCCCACTCTTATCCAGCAGTTTGATGCCGTAGAAGTCCAACATGAGGGAGTAGGCTGCCAGGAATCGGCGCTTGGCTTCCCGAGTGCTTTGGAATTCCTGTCGGGGTCAAACGCGGCAGATCAGAGACCAGCGGACGGGTTCGGCAATGTCTTTCCGTTTTGCCCCAAACAGATGGAGCAGAACCACGTCACAATGTCAGATGTATTCAGTCAAAACAAGCAATATTTCCAGAATCCTTTCTTTTTTTTTCAGAATATGGTTGTTCCATTTGAGTGACTTTAACTTCTCTATTCAGGGAATATACCAACCTCATTAAGGGCCTCAACTTATAGTGCATTTCTAACAAAAAATATCCATCAAGTTAAAAGGAATGTTTTAATTCTTTGAATGCAAGATGAACTCTATTGCTCATGGCGAACGCTCGAGTCCCCGTACGGCAACGTGACAATGTGCGCTTGTGGCTCTTACTTTGATCTCTTCCTGCGTCAGTTCATGTGCGTAGAAGTTGAGCCCTTGTTCTCTTAATGGGAACAACCTGCCAGAAAGTGATGAAAACACACAAGTGTTTATATTAGTTGCAAAAAAACGTATTGCGTAATCTCATCTCAAAAAACGAGACGAAGGCCAGAAAACGACCCAGTCCGAAACAGTTCTTATACAATTCCAGTTAAAATGGCTCATAACACCATACGATTACTAACGCAGTGACTGCACGGGGAAAGAAGATGGAAATACACAGAGGAAATGTCTCACCACTGAATGTAGGTGTGATTGTGCTCCAGTTTGTCATAGTCGCCTCTCCACTTTGTCAGAATCTCCTCTACGTAGATGCCTGAGAAGAGACACGACCTAATTAGCTGCCACACAGAGAACCAGTGTGTGCGTGTGTGTGTGAGAGTATGTTTGGGTTTTAATATTGGATCAGTCCACTGATCTGATGGTCCTTCTCAGGTAGACATAACCTTTAGCCAAACAAAACTCCCTAAACCCAAAGTCAACATTTCCTCTCTTCACAACGGCAGGAGGTTTGTGCGCCGTGTGTGTGCGCCGTGTGTGTGCGATCTCACCATCGGGTACCAGAGGGATCTTGTTCAGGTAGAAGCGCAGGTTGCGATACTCGTTGGGTTGTCGGGACTTTCTGTAGTTCTGCAATCACACACAGAGCCAACAGGGATGTCAGCAACGCACAAACAACATCTGTGCATTTCATATCCGCGATGGTGGGAATATTGTTTGTGTGTGTGAGTGTGTGTGCATTTACCGGGTAGCTATGACGGTATTTGTACAGGTCCCTGGCAGCGTAGAAGCTCCTCTTCATCTTTGGAACAGAGTCTGGAGATTCTGTCAGCTGGGAAACAAAAGTAAGAAGGAAGCAAAGAGAGTCAGTGGGAATGCAGATTGGAAGAAAAGCCCAACAGATGCTGCGCAGCACTCCTCTGCCATTCAGCTGAACCCAAAGCTCGTCTTTGCTTTTTTTTTTAGGTTGAGGGGGCTGTCATCATACATTTATTTCCAGCAAAGCAGGACAATTCACGTCGGCGCTGCCGGGCGTTCGCCACAAAAGGATGCTCGAATCTCGATCCGATTCTCACGTAAAATCTGGGTCATGCTGACTGGACAGAAGGGCTCGCAGAGTTACACGGGCCTCCTCCCTGTTATTTATTTTTGTTATTTTTGTTTTCAACTTTGAAAAAAGCCTTGGACCGTGGCAGACGTATATTTTAATTTCCAGGATTATTTTTATCGTTATTTATCGTTACAAGATGGAATTTGACTCCAGCTAAATTAAACAGATAACTGATTAAATCCAGAATAGACAAAATAACAACAAATGGAAATCCTGCCATACACATATTGTATTGAGTCCAAGTACGGGGTCAAATATTCAGCAGTCTATTTAGACCAATCTTCCATATTAATGGGTGGGTGTTCCTATTTGAGTTCGACTTTAATAGACCATAAATTACGAAATGAACATCATCATGCTGTTTTGAGGAAGTCTTCAAATGAGAGATTGAGAACATAAACTCAATGTAAACTCAACTACAATGTGCACTGAGATAAGAAATCAATTCCACATTTCTTCACTCATCAGAACCAGAGGTTGCCTCCTGTGTTATTGGTGCAGTATATTGACTGAAGCTTCGTCCTTGTTTCTTGGATTTGCCACATCCAGCCACAGTTTACCTGATCCAGATATTCACATTACAATCCTGCATGCTCACTTTAAAAAAAATACCCTTCATAATCAATGACATAATCTCATTCAACCAATATCCAACAGTGCTGTTATAACCTGCATGCTTGTGATATGCACCGCTGGTCTACAGACAAAAACCGCACAGTTACCTGTGCTGATCATTCAGGGCATCATAGCAGCGGGAGGGGGGAGACATGAGCAACTGTATTGGACTCACTACATAACCGGGCTGCTCGGTTGTCCTTCTGTGTCCCGCCCCCGTCAATAATATCCGCCGCCGGTGGCACATGCCCCGGTTCCGCCCCCCCCTTTCCCTCCCTCATCTTCCGCATCACCTTTACCTGCGGAGACGCGTCCTCGGGGTCCCCGGCGGCCCGGTCGCCCTCCGCCGCCGGGCTGGCGGCGTCGGAGATGCCGCCGTCGTCCGCAGCCGCCGGCTCGTCGCTCTCGGAGTCCGACCCCCACGTCGAGTCGCATTCCTCCACGGTGCTCGGCTCCTTCACGCGCCAGCTGCCCAACAGATTTCCCATCTAAGCGAGCGCGCAGGCGGCCACGCTCGCCCGCGGGTGTCCTCGTCTTTGCACTTGAAAAGCTACGGCGGAACACTACGAGGTTCGGTCCATGGAGTCGTGTGGTTGCGCTCGCGTCGCCCGCAGAGCGCAGCTTCTTAAACGGCAGAGAGGGGAAATTCCACATCAGCAGCGACGTGCGCGCGTGTATGAGAGGCGATTCGTGTCACCCAGCGGCAGGAGGA